CCACAACAACATCTGGGGGAGGAGCATTACAGGTAGAGAGAAATTTTAATGCAAAATGTCAGGAATTGTGAAGGGTCTGAGGTTGTACATTGCCTGCAAGCTAGCAAGGTAGCCTGCCATTTTTGTGGGAGCTGGCAGTAGACACAAGACATCTGGGTCAGAGCAAGGGATTTTATTATTCATGCCAGCAGGCAGCGTGAACTTCATGTTCACATGGGTTCTCCATGCTCCCTTCCCAGGGGCACTGTTCAGAGGTCAAGTCAGTAAGACGTGCTGGTGGATTTGGGTGCGGGAGATAAGAGAACAGTAGAAATTTAAGGTGCTTTCTAGGTGTTGGGCTGCATCCACAAAAGAACAAATTGAGGGTCAAGGCAAGGGAGGACAAGGACACCTAAGTACTTGTAACCGTTGAGATGCCTAATGCATATCTAGGTTCTTAGAAAACAGTTGGGTGCAAGCATTTGCAATTTAAGGGAGGGATCACTGCTGAAGGAATAGACCTGGGAGGCCCTGTGGGATGACAAATACTTAGAGCCCTGAGATGAATGAGGTCGCCAGAGAATGCTTTCTGAATTCACCAGACTTCTCGGTCAGTGGAATCACCTGGAGTGCTTGTGAGAAACACAGACTCCCAGATCCCGTTCAGATCTCGAATTCTAAAACTTTATGATCTATCTAAAGTTTTTGCATAAATTCTTTCACCAGTATTTATTGAATGCCTGTTATATTTCAAGCACTGTGCTTGGTGGTGATGGGTGGAGCTATAGCAGCATTTTGTGGTCACAAAGAAAGACCAAGGGAACACTGAGATCTTGGCAGATTTTGTGGAACCAATGGCCCGGCATCCAAACTTGTCATTATGAGGGAAAATAACCCCCTATTTATTTAGTCCATTATATTTGGCCGGGGGGGGGGGGGGTGTTGCTTGTTTGTTACTTTCGGCCAAAAGCATTTTAACCTAATACACATTTTTTATTACTATATTTATAAATCTAGTAAATTTAAATAAAATAAAACAAATCATTATGATTAATGTTTCATTAACTCAAGTTGCGTAGGCTAAACTCCCTTAAACCATCATTCTCATTTACACACATCACTTATTAAAATCTCTTAGACATTTTAAATTGCTTGTATAGACTTAATAATAGTTGAGTTTCTGGTTTAACACTTCAAATAATTGACCTGGCAAGTTTACAACCAATTAAGCCAAAATGTTCTCAGATATTTAAACATCTCTTCTAAATCTAATAAGTTAAACTTACAAATATCGTGAATGTATCCTAAAACTATTAAGGAGCTCAGTCAAGTTTTCTTACATCTTCCAACTTAAAATCAATTTCACGTTTTAAATCAGAGTCATACGTTTCCACTTAAAGAATCACTTAAATAAGAAACACACGCAAGATTATTCCTAAGCTCAACATGAAAGTACCAATATTACGGGTCTGATTTATTTCATCATCGCCATATTTAATTCTAAACATTCCCAGATGCGGAAAGTCACTTACTCAACCAGGGAGCAGATTTTTTACCTCAAGAGAGTCAGAGTTACTGGGTCAGGAACTCATGACCACAATATGGTGAACATCTCAGATAAGCTGAGGTCCCTTAGGAGCAGAGTCAGAAGGCATGTGAGCGCCCTGACCCTTTCTGTGGTCACTATGACAACAGAGGACATCCTTCCGTGGGCTTTGATTTTAGAACCTTAATTCCAGTCTCCTCTTCGCTATTCTTCTGTATTTTTTAATTATTAGAAGAGATGAAAATCAACAGCTCCACCCAAGTGAGCTCACTTCCGTTATTACTTCATTGGCTTCTATGCTCTTGGTGCTCTGCAGACATTGCTAGCATATTTCCATGCTGCTCTAAGGGAACGTTAAGGCTGTTGGACTTAATCCTGAACAATTGGCCCCATGCCATGACTCTAAAGTCATGATAATGACATAAACCATTCCCCTTCCTTGGGACTTGTTAGGAATTCCCCAAATAGGATGATAGCATCTCCCATTTCCTCACAACTACTGTATTTGACTCGGCAGGATCTTGGCTCCAGGTGCTGCTGTTCACCCTCCAGTGTTGCCTGCCGGGGACATCCTGTTCATTAGCTAATCTGCCTCAGGCTCAGATGCATCAGCCCCTTCTCTCCACTGGGGTGCGGGGAGTCTCCTTACCATCCCCACCTCCGTTCTCTGTAGTCACCTCTCTAGCAGGTAGACAATGGCCTCCTGTTGGACTGTCCAGCCTTCCTTTTTTTTTAAAAGAAAATATTTTTATTGATTTCAGAGAAGGGAGAGGGAGAGAGAGAGAGAGAGAAACATCAGTGATGAGAGAGAATCATCGATTGGCTGCCTCCTGCACGCCCCCTCCTGGGGATGGAGCCTGCAACCGCGGCAGGTGCCCTGACCAGAAATCGAACTGTGACCTCCTGGTTCATAGGTCCATGCTCAACCACTGAGCCACACCGGCCAGGCTGCCCAGCCTTCCTGGTGTGGGAGTGAGGGCACCGGGCAGCAGAGCTGGAGCAGCATCTGTTTTAGACTCGTCACTGTGTCTAGATAAGTGTGGACTAAAACATGACAAGTATCAATAGTAGCAACAACAGTACTAACCATAATATCAGGAGCCAACCCTGAAAGCTTACCGTGTTCACCACCATAAGCTAGGTCAGTGGTCGGCAAACTGCGCTCGCAAGCCACATGCGGCTCTTTGGCCCCTTGAGTGTGGCTCTTCCTAAGCCTTAGGAGTACCCTAATTAAGTTAATAACAATGTACCTACCTATATAGTTTAAGTTTAAAAAATTTGGCTTTCAAAAGAAATTTCTTTTTTTTTTAATATATTTTATTGGTTTTTTACAGAGAGGAAGGGAGAGAGATAGAGAGTTAGAAACATCGATGAGAGAGAAACATCGATCAGCTGCCTCCTGCACATCTCCCACTGGGGACGTGCCCGCAACCCAGGTACATGCCCTTAGCCGGAATCGAACCTGGGACCCTTCAGTCCGCAGGCCGACGCTCTATCCACTGAGCCAAACCAGTTTCGGCCAAAAGAAATTTCAATCGTTGTACTGTAGATATTTGGCTCTGTTGATATTTGACTAATGAGTTTGTCAACCACTGAGCAAGGTGAATCATCATATTCAATCGCCTCAGGAACTCTGAGATAAGTGCTACATGTTTCCTCATTTTACAGATGAAGAAATGAGGCTTTAAAAGATTGTTTTCCACAGCCTCCAGCTGGCGAATGCCAGAAGAAAAACTTGAATCAGGTCCATCTGTGCTGTGCTCTGGGGACCGCATTAGTTTTAATTCCATCCCCCAGAGAGAAAGCTGGCTGCAGCACGTCCCAAATCCGTGTCTGTACCTCTGCTCAGCATCTGACAAATCAGGGCTGTTTCCGGCCTTGGTGATCTGGAGGGTGGCCAGCCCTTTGCACTCTTTTCCTCGAGGGCCCCTAACTCCTGCGCACTCTAGACTTTTCTTTCCTCCCAAGTGGCTTTGTACTTGAATGACTGTACGCAGACCGCCCCCACCGGCCAGATTCCCTCTCCACTCCATACCCCAAAGGCCAAGTTCTCAGCCCACCTGAGCCCAGTGAACTAAAACTACCAAAGAGCTCCCTGGGCACAAATAGTTTCTAACCATAAGAAATAGAAGTTTATTTAACTTCAATTTTTTGCACTGTGATGCCAAAGCGTGTTTATTATCCTGATATTTGGAACTAATAGTGTCTTTTCCCATTAAAAACACTATGAAGTACAGTGGTTAGGTTCCCATTCCAGCCCACCTAGGTCTAATAGCCATATGTACTTTGAGCCAAGCTCATTTACAATAAAGAGTACAGGACAAATGTCTATCACAAAACTAATGATTTTTTTTTAACAAAAAGAATAGAAATAGAATGTAGGAAAGTTTGTATTTATTAAAATGTGTAGACTTGGGGGAAAGCATGTTTAAAGGAAAGTGAAGATACGGATGGAAGATTTGGGAGATTCTAAAAGGGACTTCTGGGTACTTCAAAAGACTTCGATGGTGGAGGGCTTGGGTACTTGTAATATCTAATTATATGTCAGAGGGGAAAGTCTCCCTTTTCTCTGACACAGAGTTGTCACCAGCTCTGACTCTCAACAATGATACCTGGGCTTTTCTTGAGTCGTGTGACTCACAAGCAGAATGAAAAGAGGCAGGAAAGGTCATCCTGAGGGAACTGAGTGGGGAAAAAAGAAAGTTGAGGGAGGGCACAGTAGAAGGGGATAAAGAGGAGGGTAGAGTTGTCTGATGAACAGCTATTTGATCTATGAGTGTGCCTCGGAGTACAGTCCCCCTGGAGGGGAAGACAGGGTGACAGGTGAAACCCAACCTAGCACCCATGACCCCATCAGCTCTGAGCAGCCTGACTGCCGTCTGAAGAGAAGGGATAAGTGTGTTTTATGCGATGGAGTAGAAAAGAAGGGAGCCATGGTTAGTGCTGTGAATGGAACACATTTCTCTTTAAGGAAAAAAAAGAGATTTGTAGTGTCTGCGGATTATGGTGGTGTAAATGCTCCCACTGTGGGCATTTTCAAGCAACAAATGGTTTAACAATAACTGGCTCACCAATTCTTGAATATTTAATAATCAGCGTCCACATGCTGATGTGAGCTGCTCCAACACACCACTCCAACAACAGACAGGGCGTCTAACCACGTATATGTTCAGACAGTTGCCGATCCAACCTCCCTACTCAAGCCTGCACTGTTCTGCTCTGTGTGACATTTTTCGATGGTTAATTATTCAAAACTGACAGAATATTAATGAAATTCAGTAAAAGAGTATCTCAAAAAGCACATTCTTTGCCTAAAAACCACCAGAAACCCTAGGGGCAGAGGGCCATTTGATTCATCTAAGTTTAAATTCAAGAATCATCACAGAGCTAGATTCTTGCGACTACATTACATTTTCTGATGACTGTGCTTTTTATGTGATTTTTTTTTAAGTAAAAGAAAAAAAATCAGCCATGATCTTTTCTGGAACAATTTAAAACACTTAAACACCAGAGCATGTTTTCAGTAAAATTGTAATCCATTTCCAAAGTGGGTGAGAAATGGAAGAGAGCGTACCTGCTGATCTTATTCTATGTTCCCCGAATCACACTGTCAGAAGCAGGGGTCTCAGACTCCAAGTGCTGGAGAACGTGGAAAGGTTTCTGCACACAGAGTGCCCCCCCCATGGCGTGGAGTTCTGGGGGGACTTAAACTCAGAGAAAGGGCAGCCAGAGATCCCAGAGGAACAGGAGACGGGAGCAGCCACATCCCCTCCAGCATCTCCCTGCTGGTCTCCGGCCTACACAGTCACCATGACCTGATCCAGGGGTTTCCGTTTCAGATCGGGCACCGTGGCCTCTTTGCTGGGGTACCCCACGGGCAGCAGCATCAGCAGCTTCTCATTTGTGGGGCGGCTCAGGAGCACCCTCAGACGGGGGCCACAGTTGAGAGGAGTGGTAGTGACCGTCACCAGGCCTGCGTTCTAAAACGGGAGAGGAAAAGAGTACATGGAGACGTCAGCGGCAAAGTCCGGCTCTGCTTCAAGGCTGGGGACATTCCAGTCCCTGTTAGACCTGCTTGTTCTTTCAGTTCCCGGACGTTGGGCAGCAAAGAGGCACAGGGTATCTTGACTCTTGCCTGCTCTCCTCAATCCCCCCAGCCCCCACCTTCTTTTAACCAAACAGTGGGAAGGTTCTTGAAGAAGAAAAATGCCAGTCTTACCTTTCTTTAAGCTTAAGAAATAGGAATGGTTATTTCATGGAAAGAATTTTGGGGAATCCAACTACACTAAAGGAATGACAAGAAACCAAGTGGTTCCTATGATCCAACCATGGACAGAGCACGGTCCCCAGCTGATAACCCCACATCCAGTGAGAGAGGACCCAGCAGCCAAGGGGGGAGGCAAAGAAAATACTTCATCAACCTCTCCCCAAGCCCCCCAGATCATAAACAGCTGATAAAAATCATGTGTAGCCTTAAGGCACCTCCGCAGCTGGCCCTCTCCACCGCTGGCCCTCTCCACCATTGCCCCCCCCCCACGCCCACCTCCCCTGCTTGTCCAATCACCGCCAAGCCTGAGTCAGAAAGTTCTGGAACTGCCTTTGAGAGTCCAGCACAACTCGTCACTATGCCATCTGTCCAGATGGGGGCTTTGGGAGATTTCTCTTTCCTCCCTGGCAAATCAAGACCTGTACTCAGAATGATGCCTTATGGAACGCTAGAGGGCAGCAAACTCAACACTAAAGTGGCAAAAGGCTGCTGAGTCAAAGGCCTGGAGGCCACTTGAGATCTGAGCTTGCTTCTCCCAGGACACCCGAAACTAATCTAATATTGTACATCAACTATAATTGAAAAACAGAAAACTATTTAAAAGGAAAAAAAGATGGATGGAGGTGCCCTGCGGCACAGTGATTCATTTATTTATTAGTATACAGAATCAGGAGGGGGAAAAAAAAGATTTCAGCTCCTTTAGGACAAATTTTCAAGTAATCTATTTCTCTTTTGTGCAACAATGACCATACTTTGTGAGGTGTTTTTGACGCGCAGACTTTTCTTGGAGATAGTGAAGAAGCCCACAGTGACTTATTGTTCCTTGGCAGTATGATCACTCACTCTTATAGTCTTGTTTGCTTGACTTGTTTACCGGTTTACTGTCTCTCTCCACCCCAAGACCCCAATTCCCACCAGAACACACAGTTCATGAGGCGACTATTCCTGGTGTCTCCCAGGATCTGTCACAGAGAAGGAACTCGGAGGGGATTTGTTGAGGGAATGAACTGACTCAGGTGAAAGGCATACCTCAGCTACTCGCTTCATGCTTAGTATTGCTCGAGCTACTAGGTAGATGGACTTTTTTTAAGTACATGAACATGTTTCTAATGCAATACAATGTAAACTCAACTTCTCAGAAGCTCAATGATATTGTCCTCCTTACAGTTTTCAAGCATTTGATCAGCTCAGATAACAGCAAACACAGCTAGGAAACCACTCCCTGGAACTTCCAGGCTCTGAAAGTGTGTGTCTCCCAACACCCTTGACCTTCACATGTCACAGGTGAAGGCAAACAGAAGGGCCTTTCTTCTGAGCCTGCAATGATGTTTCAGGTGAATTTCCAGGAAGAATTCCAGCTCATTGAACCATTGTACTCACCCAGCCTGCTTTCAGAGTCAGTTTTCACATCAGAGTTACCTCCCTCAGGAATTCAACTTTATAATAACAATTTCCGAATGTCCCTGAACCAGAAACTCAGCTGCCCTCTGTGAATAAGGCCACCGCTTGGCCCCCAAGCATCACCTCTCTCTCCAGGGCCAGGTGGGAGGCTGACCTACCTGCAGGGCAGCGAGGAGGATGCCACACGCGATGGACACACTGATCTCGTTGTAGTAGTGGACCTTCTTTTTGCCATTGGCGGTAAAACCATGTACTTGTTTGAAAATGAGAATCAAAACAGGAGCTGTGTCCAAGTACTCTTTAATCCAATTAGTTCTGAAGGGGAAAAAAAGAAAGATATTTCAGAGAATATTTGCTCTTATGATTTTTTGTTCTTTTCACTACTTCGCTTATTTATGTTGCAAATAACAAGGTTTTGCAATGAGAAGACCAAAGCTAAGATTTGACCCAGACCTGATATATATGCTCAAGGCAATACAGTGGTGAGACCAGGCCTAACTTTCATAATTCCTCACAGAGGCAGGTTCAAACATTTGAACACCTAAAACAAAACTGGGAAACTGACGCCATCGTTGTTTCATTGTAAGAAGTCAAACCAAACATCCCTCATCCCACCACCGTTTGTACCTCAGTTTCTTCAGGTCTGTGACCCATCGTTGTCCCATCCTTTTCAAGTAGTTTATTTTCTCTTCCTCCTCAATGATCTCCCGGATCTGATGCTTCATGTCCGGGTCCTTCACAACCACGAAGGTCCAGGGCTCTGTGTGGGCCCCACTGGGGGCTGTTCCTGTCCCCCATTAAAATCAGAAATTAACACTGCAGGGAAATGTGAGACTGTGGATTAAGAATATAGAGGGAGATTCACACTTGCTGAAAATGAAGTTACCTCTTCTGGCAAACAGAGCCCTTGGCGGCAGCCCCTGGTGTGTTGCTGCTGCCTCCTTTCATTCGGCCTCACTGTAGGAGGCTCTGCACCCGCTGGTTGAGGTCAAGGCCAGTGGGTCTAGGGCTGGAGGGACCTAGCACTGCTTCTCGAACTAAGTGGGAGAAAAATGTCCCTAGGAACTGAATCAGGACCACAGAGGGAACTCAGAGGGGGAATTCTGATAGCCCAAATTCTCCAAAATGTCATCTGTTTTGATATCCTTGAAAAAGGATGAAGTCATAAAGTTTATGGTAAAATGTAAATGGTTAAGTCGTTTTTAAAACACTCCTCCAAAGGCAATGGAACTCTAAATTTTTTAGTGCCAACACCAAAGCTCTGAGTATGGACTGTGGGGCTTGTGGCTTCGTTGGGACACACAAGAACTCTTGGTCCTGGGTGCTCAGTGCACACATCAGTGTGTCTTCTGCCTCTCACAGGCTTCGGGAGCACTCAGCCCACACCTAGATCATCCCAGGGAACCCAACAAAGCTTCATAGTACATCTCGGTGCCCAAGGAGCTTGCATTTCCTTTTAGATTCCAGCCATGGCCTGGGCCAGCTTCTGATCTGGATCTGATCACCCCTCAGTCCTAGAAATGGCCCCACTGTTCCTAGACCACAGTGACCCTCTGGTGGGATATTTCAGAAGCAACTATTCCTTTCTTCCTACTGAGTAATTTAATGGCATAAAGTCTACATGAGGGGGGGCTCAGGCCTCCAGCCTTGATGACGTCCTTGTTTGCCACCCACGACTCCTCATGGTAGAGGGGGCATGATTAAGTTGTGAAATGCTTTAGCAAGTCAGAAGCTAAACATAAAGCACACATTTCTACACAGAGGGATTCCAGTTCAGTTTGTACCTATGTTATCTGCCCAATAAATATTTGCGTCACTATCCTAAGAAATAAATTCATCCCTAATATTTTTAATTATACCAAATTTATCTAAGCATCAGATGTGCACACACATATATAGATACAGATAATATACACAGGCGCAATTTAATAACTGCTATTAGTTAGATAAAGGACTCAACAATTTAGTGCATTTGTACTCTTAATTGAAATGAATAAAACTCCAATCACAGAAGACTCTCAAATAAGGGGCTTGCTCTTATTTCTCCTCCCACTTTCTTGTAGTTCTCATGTTTGTTTAGTTTTTTGTTTGTTTGTTTTTCTCTGTAGAGATAGCAATTTACATTGAAAATTAGTGTTTCTTGTTTGGTTTATTTTGCAAATTCACAAAAGTAAATTTGGTAGGTCATCAGAATATAGTGTTAGAGCATTGTGGAGTATGATAGAAGAGACTTGGTTCCAAAAAGAGAAATATATAAATGAGAGAGAGAGACAGAGAGAGAGAGGTGTTTTAAGGGGAGGGGAAAGAAAAATATTTATCTTCCAATGTATAATAGTGTGTTCAGAAATTTTTGTTTTTATGAAAGTTCATAATGTTCAGTCATTTCAGAAGTTTTGAACTATTGTCACATCTGCTCCCAAGGAGTTTATAATAGTCAGACGTTTATAGAAAGTGGGAATAATTATGTTTCTGGCAGTCCGTCAGCACCTGGGTTAGACTTTATAGGTAAGCTTATCACTCTAGGCTTCCTTCACCGTGTTTGAGCTTCAACATTGCTCAATATTGTCACCACAGTAATACAGCTGGCATTCTCAACGACCCAGTGTGCGATTACAGACCTGCTGTTTTGATGACATTCTCAATGACTTCCATTGGGACTTGCTCGTTACTTATGAATCTCACTGAGCGTCTCTTATTAAGAAGCTCATAAAATTCCTGGGATCTCGTAACCATTTCCTCCTCAGGATACCGGGTGTGGGAGAATGGGATGTGTTCAACACTTTCCTCGGACTCTTGCCACTCATCAGCATCTGCAAATAAGAACAAGAAAAGTAGCAAATTAAATGATCTCTCTTAGTCATCAGGTGGCCACTTGGGAGAAGGAGATAAAGTTCTCAAAACTTTATGAGCTCAAAAGCATCAACAAAAAAAATGAGATGTATAGATCTATAGAATCTTGACCTCTGATCTTGACCATCCTTTAAACTCCAGATTGGTTATAAATCAAGAAAAAGAAAAATTTCCCCTACACAAAGATGAGGAGTGCAACTTTTTATTAATAGTGAACTAGCTAGTTTGAAACACTCTCTCATCAGCTGAAAACCACTAAGATCACTCAATAAAATATTGTTACAAGTCCTTTTAAAATCACCGAATTGTTGACAACATAGTAAGAAATCCCCAGGCCAAAACTAAAGAGAAAATATGAACCTACAGAGGTAAAGAATCACAGAAGCTGTCTTTTCCCTAATTGTGTTTGTCAATCCCTACACATGTCAATGTCCATTTTTAGATTTCCAGGAATCAAGAGGGACAGAAATCAAAGTTCAGGCCCCAACAGAATGGGGAGTCTCATAGTCTGGAACCTTCCCAGAAATGAGGAAAAATACCAAATCTACATACTTAAGAAGCCCAGTCAACTCCAAGCGGTGTAAGAAAAAGAAACCCACACCTTTTATGGTAAAATATAAAATGTTAAAAGCAGTCAGAGGGGGAAATATCACCTTAGGAAGACTAACAAGAATAACTGAATTCCTAACAGCAGCAAGAATAATTGCATCGAATACCAGTGGACTAAATGCTCCTGATAAAGGCCAATGAGTTACATGTTTAAGCCCTACTGTTTTTTAATTAGAAAGTATAGTTGACATACAATATTATGAGTTTCAAGTGTAAAGCATAGTTACTCTGAGGAATTGTACAAAGTGAAAGACTTTTGTAGGCAGAAGGGAACGGGAGCAAGGAAGTTGTTGTAGGCAAAAAACTGGATTGGTAATTGCAAAGTTAGATTCTTTTAGGACATGGCAGGACATGGCAGGGTCTATCAGGCGGATGACCTCACTAGTGCCGATCAGGCGATTCCTGGTCAACTGGTTTATGATTCCATTTCTGGGGGATCTGAAACTGTAATTAGGTTTGGTGATGTGGAGCTTAGCATGTGTGACTCCAATTTGGGCCCGTTTTTTTTCTTAACACATCTAGAACATAAGAATTTAGAGAGGTTGAAAGTAAAAGGCTAGAAAAGTTATACCATTCATCTCATAAGCATATCAATATCACATTTTTTAAAATTAAGGGTCACTTTATAAATTTATTATAATATTAAATTATAAAATAATGTAACATTACATTACATATTATAATATTAATATTTCATTATATTAAATTATAAATAATAATTATAAGAAATTCTAAGAAAGCAATTTAAAATGTGTATGCAAATGTTAATCAATAGCAGAGTGAATAAATTGTGATATCCTCTGGAAATGGAATATATACATGAAAGCATTTTATCTGAATGTGAAAAATGAATGGACTTCGGTCACATGCCTAACCTGGATGAATTTTACAAGTATAATGTTAAGCAAAAGAAGCAAGTCAAAAGAATTTTAACATGATGATTCTATCATTTAGGAATGCATACATAGGCAATAAATCTGTAAATAAAAACAAAGAAATAATTCCCATACATTCAAAGTAATAACTATTTCTGTAGGGTCAGGAAGAGGTTGTTACTAGAAAGGGACATAGGGGGTTTTATGGAGTGCTAAAATTTTTTATTTCTTAACCTAGATGATAATTATATGGATATTTGTTTTAAAATTATTTGTTAAGCAATTCATCTATGTCTTATACACTTTTTCAATAAGAATATTACATCTCACAATTTTTAAAAATAAGAAGGCCATAGAAATTAATTACCAAAGAAATCAAACATGGATCAAGTGACAAGAACTGTGAGGTTAGAACATCCAAAGAAAGAGAAGACAGGCATGTTCTCAATGGGGTGAAAGTTTAAGTGGGTAAGGTCTAGTTTAAGTGGGTTAGATCTTTAGTGATGAAGTCCTTGCCGTGTTACTATTTTTCAAAGCACAACAACAAAACCAATTTTTAACATTCCTGTTTCATATTTAAAATTTCAAGGCTTTCAAGAAAGATTTAGAGTTTGAAACAATCAATGGGAACTGAAAGTGTGAACAAAACTGGCCATGGGTACTTCCTCTTCTGAGCAAAGAGCATAATTACAATCAGTGGAAAATACCACCCCCCACCCCCTGAAGCCCAGTCAGCTCCAAGCGGTATAGGAACAGCTCTCCCCCTGAGCTGTTCACTTTCCCTCCCAAAAATGTTGAGGGAAGAAGAGGAGACAGTTTTAAACCTCCGATGGCTTTTCTGTGTTGCTGTGTCCCTGGCTCGTGGTTTTTCAAGCATAGGAGTGACTGTTTGCAAAAGGAGCTGAGCACTCCACCTGACAAAGTGAGGGGAATAGAACTTGGGGCAGAAAAGCCCAGAGGCAGATCTACAAAATGGAGAATCAAAAGACCTTTGGAAGGAAAAAAAGGCTGCCCCAAACTAATACATTGGGTAAGTGGTTGGTGGGTGGAGAAATCACTGAAAAAAGGGGGGGGGATGATTTCCATAGGCAAGTAGGTGTGAGTGGGAAGGACAAACACTGACAAAAACATCAGGAGGCCATGGGCCTGAAGCTCAGTGCCAGGTGGTCTCATGAACCAGTTCTGGACTAGAAGGGGTCAGTGGGAAGGAAAAAATGGGACATCTGTAATACTTTCAACAGTAAAGATAAATTTTTCAAAAAGCAAGAAAATAGATATCCAAGAGGCAAGATGTCACTTTGGGAGCCTTCACATAAAGATGAGAATGACCCACGGAAATGGAGGAAAGAGAGCAAGAAGATCCAGGGCCTGAGGGTCTGGGACATCCCAGGTGGAATTCAGGTAGAGGACTGACCTTCTCTGATACTGGCTCACACACACTTCACTCCCAGGCATCTGGGGATGGGGAGGGGGAAGGCAGGAGGGGACTCTCATGAAGGGGGACTGACTCCAAATGGACTGAGAACCCAGCTACAATACTAGCAGGTTCCGCTTTGCTCACAGCTCTTAGTGAGAAACTTCTTTTGACACTTTGCTAGCCAGGGCAGTCTGGCCCTGGACTATACACATGTAATGAGAAGGCCCAGTTACTAAGTTAAAAGAAAGTAGGTGAGAGGGGGGAATGGCGACAATCAGCTATCAGCTTTTCAGCAAAAAATTCTGAATCAAACCCAGATGTCATCATCACCAACCCTGAACTTCCTCAAATGTGCCATTAAAGACTTTCAACACCAATGAGACTTCCTTCCCCATTTGTTAGGAAGTCTGGCGGCCTCTGTAATCAGTACACAGTCAATGAGCAAGACCATGAAATGCTTCCTGAACTGAAACGTAAATTAACAACTCTTAAGATCCATTCAACCAGCATTTATAGAAACGGGAAGGCAGCTTACGGGCATGACTTGGCAATTTCTGCAGCTTCTAAAGTCCAGGGTAGGTGCTCTCCCTGAGTCTAGCAGAATGAAGAACTGGCCTAATCACTGCTGGCTGGATTGTCCTGCAGGGCAATCTGAGCGGTGCAAGGCAGGGAGGGGGGGGGGGAAGGGGAGTTGCTGTTTCTGGAGTCTCTCCCAGGCCTGAAGGTCTACGTCCCGCCGAGGGAAAGAGCCAGGCTCAGAGACAGTACCCAGCGACCACCAGGCCATGAACCAACACAAATGCAAAAGGCACCAGTTCTCTCTCCTTCCCCTTGACCTCCTGAGGGCCCCCAGGAAGGTGGTCCTCACCAAGAGGAAAGAGAACCACCTCTGGAAACTGCACAGCTGTCCTGCCTCCATCCTAGGCCAGCCCAGTCACCCTGGCGAGTCATTTGAGCTGTGAAGCCCATGCATTTCCAAAACAAATGCGTGCTATTGTGGTCTGCTTTTTAATATACGTCCTGTGCTCCCACACTTGGGGTTGGCTCTTGATACCAGGAGTAATTCACCTTTTATTGTTGCTTTTATGCCAAGGAACACAAAATTGCTCCGTAATTAGGTTTAATGGCCAAGTAATTCCAGGTCACGTCTCTCCTTTAATGCTTAACATGAAAGTGTTTTCGTGGGGGTTTTTTATGGCATTTCTACAGAAGTTTCTTTTGTGTTTCCTGATGCTACTCCAAAATTTTGGCAAGAAGGCCAAATATTTTCAAGCTATGAATCTACAGGCCAATTGGTGTCATGGCATCCTTGTTGCCTCCCTGCGAATTTTGGGAGCCTCAAGGAGCAATGTAATGAGGCAGAGGGAGATGGGCTAGCACCGTAGACAGATTCTGAAGGTGAGGTTGGGAGAGACTTCAGGGCTCAACACCTGTCCTGGGGACGCCTCCTTCCCGACCATCACTCTGACTCCTGCGTGGCCTCTCAGTCAGCTACCTCCCTAGCTGTGGTCTAGACTGACTATTTCAAGGGCAGCAACAGGGGTGGGTGGGGGTGGGGAGTCTGTGGCACCCAGATGAAGAACCTTGACAAGAGCAACACTATCCTTTTTCTATTTCCATTTCCAGGAACTTCCATGAGTCTGTGACATTTTATGGGAGCACTCTGAGGCTCTTACTTTGAGATAAACATTGCAACTTCTCCTTAGACCTCAGCTAGAAAAATAGGGAACTGAAAGTACTAGCAGGACACCATGCTTGACTTGTTCTCAGAAGAGCTTGTGTCTGACATGACACAAAGGAGCAGGGCCTCTCTAACGGCCCACCATTCCCCCACCCCCTGCCCACACACACACTGATTCCTGGCCTCTGAATGTGAACTAGGAATTCTCTGCGGGTCAGAGCTGGACGAGGTTGGATTGGAACCCATACTATCCTTAACTCCCACTAGAATGGCCTACAACACTTATTTTACTGCTTTGTCCCTTACTGCTAATTTTCAAAATGGTTTTGGCTGGTATCTACTTGCTGTCATCACAAATACCTCTGTGTTTCTTCAGTAATGGAACCCTTTCTCTTCTCCAATTATGCCCCTTCCAAACCTGCAGTGCCCACAGTGGTCCTCTCTTAGACCATGGCCCCCCAGCCAGTGGTTAGGAGCTGGGACTTGGGTGGCAGAGGAGACTGAGTTTAAACATTAATTCTCCCCTACCCCCTGTGTGACCTCAGTTGTTCTCACTTGTGTAAACAACAAAAATTTCAACAAGAGACTGTGAACTCTTCACTCAGGGCATATCTGCACATGGCTGTTGAGGGGGCCACTATGCATCAGATTCATTTCTTGGTGGGAGGACTACAGAGTGAAGAGGTAGAGGATTTGGGGAAAAGAATAATCAGGTTAGAGAACCAGAACTGACCATAGAGCTTTGCTCTGTGTCCCCAACCTTCAGTCCCTCTCCCCCACCCCACCCCCAGGTCTCAGATTCCCCACCAGCCTTATCAATCCCTTTTGTATCCCATAAACCAGTGGTTCTCAACCTGTGGGTCGCGACCCCTTTGGTGGTCGAACAACCCTTTCACTGGGGTCGCCTAAGACCATCCTGCATATCAGATATTTACATTATGATTCATAACAGTAGCAACATTACAGTTATGAAGTAGCAGCAAAAATAATTTTATGGTTGGGTCACAACATGAGGAACAGTATTTAAAGGGCCAGAAGGTTGAGAACCACTGCCATAAACTCTTAGGTCTTCAAATCCAGTGGCCTTTCCTCCATGCACTTTGCCTCTGAGCTCTCAGGGAAGTTTTAACCCTGCAGGCCATCTCCTGCCACCTCTGTTCTAGGTCATTCTCCTATTGCAAAGGCAGCCTAGCAAACTGGCTGTGTGCCTGGGCCCTGGAACCAGACTGGCTGGGTCCGCGCTCGAACACTAGCTGCTCAGGTAGTGACTTAGCATATTTGAGTCTCAGTTTCTTTATCTTCAAAACGGGGGGAAATAACAGTGTCTACTTCACTATGTTATTATGAAGACTAAATTAATTCACTTCATGTAAAATGTGACACTGGATCCCGTAAGTGCTACTTGTAATTATTATTTTTTTTAATATAGTTTTATTGATTTCAGAGAGGAAGGGATAGGGAGAGAGAGATAGAAACATCAATGATGAGAGACAACCATTGATTGGGTGCTTCCAGCACGCCCCACACTGGGGATTGACCCTGCAACCCAGGCATGTGCCCTGACTAGGAATCGAACTGTGACCTTCTGGTTCAAAGGTCAATGCTCAACTACTGAACCACGCCAGCCAGGCTTATTATTATTATTACTAGAGGTCTGGTGCACAAAAATTCGTGCACTCGGGGTGTTGGGTCCCTCAGGCAGGCCTGCGCCCTCTCGCAGCCCAGACCCCTCAGAAGATGTCCACCTGCTGGCTTAGGCCTGCTCCCCAGGGGAGTGGTCCTAAGCTGGCAGTCAGACATCCCTCTGGCAGCTAGGGAGCCCTCTGGGGATATCCACCTGCCAGCTTAGGCCTGCCTGCGCCATTCACCTCTTCCTTCTCAGGTCAGCCATGACCTGACCACCCGCTCACTACCCCACTTCATTTCACCCTTCCCCAGATCAGCGCCGTCCTCCCATCTTCTCAGCATCTTTCCCAGGGGTTTGCTCTTTTTGCTCCTCTTACCTGAGATGCCTCCTAACCCTTGCCAATCATGTCCTACTAATTTGACAAGCCTGGTTCATCCTTTTGCTAACTCCTCACCACACCCCCAGGCCTTCTTCAAACAGCTTATGATCAGTTCCACCTGGTTCATCTCTTCGTTACTCTCTGTTGCCTGTTTATTGCCTTGTCTGCTGACTAAGACATTCAGCTCTGAGGACAGCCGCCACTTTTGTCTCTAACCCACAGGGCCTGGCACAGTCAAAGGTAGCAAGTCCCTACTTCGAGGCCGCTTTTTAAATTTCAAAGTCCTTGACCAACACCTGACCACCAATCCCACGGCCGCCCCCAGCCTGTGATGTGTCCCTTCAGAAAGGTTTCACCAACCACAGCAGGTGGGAGCCAGGAAAACATCAGCCCTTCTGGCTTTTTACTCAGAATCCGGGAATAAAGGGGGGTCAGTGCCAGCAGGCGAAGGCTGACCACCTGAGAGGAGAGACCTGTCCCTGTCACTCACGAGTCTGTTAGTAACAGAGGTAGCTGACCTGCCATCAGCCAGCGCCCATCACAAAAACGCCACACAGCATGGCCCACAGCTTTACCTTCTTCCACCTGCTGGAGGTCAGTGCTGTCCTTCAGGTCTGCATCCACCCAGGGCCGAGCCTCGGACCCGGCTCTCGCCTCCCCTTTCCTTCTCTCCACGCCTCTATCCGCATTTTTAAAGATCCACACGATCAAAACGCAGACAACTGCTATCAAGACCGGAGTGAGGGAAAACATGCTCACAAGTCGGAGAATGGAGTGTGCACCTCCCCACGCTGGTATTTAAGTCAACAGAGGGAAGGCGGAATGCCAGGAGAGGGAAGGAGGGGGAGAGGGGCGTGCCTGGAGGAACCAAGTGAACTCCAGCTCTGAGCACTTGCCAAGGAGCAAAGGTCACAGCTGAGTGGGTTGGGGTGTGTTGTGGGTTTGGTAATGCACGAGTGCATTCACCTTTTTGAATTGTGTGCTCCACAATGCATTCTTAGACAATGATTGCCAGGGTCGCGCTGAACACGTCCAGGCACCACATCCTGCCAGCAGCGGTAGACCGCATTCATCTTCCTCCCGGATGTTTTCTCTGAGAGCGTGTTGTGTCTTCAATGTGCCCAGAGCTAGCAATTGCCTGGAGCACTCCTTTGTAACAGAGCCGATTTTCAGACACCAGCTCAGATCTGCTGGGAGAAAATTCCCAGGAGAGGGGCCTGATCATCTACATTTTAAAACGGATTGTTCCTGAAACTGCCCTGAGGTTTTCATATTTAAAAAAAATAATAATAAAGCCTGTGTCAACACGTAGAGTAAAGAAATTCTTATTTTGCATTAGAGGAAAATGTTGGTCCAGGAAAAGTGATACAAAAACTTTGACAGTTTGATTGATTTATAATAATTTAAGTAGGGCCTTTTAAAAAAGTCTTAATTTCGGTTGCTCTAACAGAAATACCATAGGCTGGGTGGCTTAAATAACAGAAATTAATGTCTTAGCGTTCTGGAGGCTGAAGTCCAAGATCAAGGTGCAGCCGCCTTCCCTCCTGGTGAGGACCTTCTTCCTGGTTCTCCAATGGACGCCTTCTTCCTGCCCTCTCTCTCTGTCTCTTCTTCAAAGGTACCTGTCTCACCTGGGAGGGCTCCACCCTCATGCCCTAATCACCTCCCAAAGGCCCCACCTTCTAACACCATCACCTTGGGCAGTGGTCGGCAAACTCATTAGTCAACAGAGTCAAATATCAACAGTATGATTGAAATTTCTTTTAAGAGCCAAATTTTTTAAAACTTAAACTATATAGGTAGGTACATTGTTATTAACTTAATTAGGGTACTCCTAAGGCTTAGGAAGAGTCACACTCAAGGGGCCAAAGAGCCTTATGTGGCTCGCGAGCCGCAGTTTGCGAACCATGGACCTTGGGGGTGAGGGCTTCAACATATTAATTTGGGGGCCATCACAACCCCTGGGTGTTAGCCTAAAAAGGCCCATGTCACTTGCTTCTTCACGGCAAGCTGGGACTATGGGCATTTGGGAGGTGATTAGAACATGACAGTGGAGATTAGTGCCCTTATGAGAAGAGACCTGGACACTGGCCAGCTCTCTCTCCACCCGTGAGGACATATGTGAAGGAAGCCACCTATGACCCAGGAATCAGACTTGCACCAGACACCAAACCTACCAGCACTGTGAGGTTGGACCTCTGAGCTTCCAGAACCATCAGAAGTGAATATTTGTTTTTTTAAAGCCAACCAGTTGGTGGTATTTTTGTTATAGCAGCCTGAGCTGACTAAGACCACCTTCCATGGCTCATGCTTAGCTTAGGAGGAATACAGAAAAGAGGTTTAAAAATATGTATAGCACAGAAGAAAAGAACTTGGCAGTTCTGATCAGGTAACGGTGAGAGGGGAAACCAGCAGAGAGGAGCCAAGACAGATACTGGTGGATGATGCATGGAAGGGAGATGCACTGTTTGGTCCCCAAGCTGTCTCTTATCCCAAAGCACTTGGCAGTATTGGTCTCGGCAAAGGGTAGCCTTCCTAGGGCTCTTGTTCATAGATTTCCAGGAGACCATCCCCTTTCACTCCATGTGAATTCCTGCACTGCTCATGTGGATGGTGTGAGATACTTTTCCATCACTTATTATTAGAAATTAGTGGCCCACTGCATGGATTCGTGCACATTGAAAGGGAATCTGGTGTGGGTGAACCAGATTTGGGGCTAACAGGGTCCCAGCAGCAACCTAACCTATTGGTTGGAGTGTCTGCCCCTGGTGGTCATTGTGCGTCATAGCTACCAGTCGAACGGCTGAATGGTTGCTTAGGCTTTTACAGTTGAATGGTCGCTTAGGCTTTTATATATATAGATTTTTGTTACTCCAGATTCCTTGGCCATTTTAATCATTTCATTTCCATTGATGGCAGAAAACTTAATGTTGCTATCAGAACAATTCTACCCCTTCTATTGCACAATGGAGAGAATAAGACTTCTCTCCTCCCCTTCCTTTCCTTGATTACCTGCATCATATTCTGGTATCAGAGGAGAGGCTTCTGGGCCTGGGTCGGGGGCCCTTTTTTGCTGGGTTCCAGAGAAGGGTACAGTCTTAAGAGACAGGAGCAATATGGGCTCCCTCCACATCAAACCTCCTCAGCCTCCCCACTGCCTTCAAGCCCAGATCACAGGGCCCTTGGCTGCCCAATCTTCACGCCCCTTTGAGCGGTTACTAAATCTCTGGGAGACTCTCCTGGGATTTGGATACTGGGAGAAGGATTGACAATTTCAGGCCTCTCATTCACTTTTTGCCTTATGTATATCTATACTATTTGAATACTTTCCTATTAGCATGTACTTTTTTGTATTTTTTGATGTGATAAAATATAATAACATAAAATTTACCATTTTAGCCCTTTTTAAGTATACATTGGCATCAAATACAGTCAGGATGTTGTGCACCCATCACAACTATTTTCAAACTGCTTCCCCCACCCAAATAGAAGCTCTGTAACCATCAAGCAAAATCACCCACTTCCCCTTCCAGATCTAACCTACTTCCTGTCTCTATAACTCAGCCTATTCTATAGATACTTTCTATAAGTGGAATTATACAATATTTGTCCTTTTCTGAATGGCTTTTATTTCACTCAGCATAATATCTTCAAGGCTCATCCATGTTTTAACTTGTATCAGAACATCATTCCTTTTTATGGCTTAAATGTGCTGTTTTTAGTAACTGAAAAATAAAAAATGCATGTGGCAGTGTGGTTGAATTGCCGGAATTTATGCTCTAGTGCATGTTCCATGTCTCAGTCTTGTGACTGGTGATCAAGGGGGATGGACTGGCCCGTCTGCAGAGCACACTGTGAAAGCTCCATTCTAGAAAACACATTCCCAAGGCACACATGTGCTTTTTAACTTTCAATGCTGATGTCAAATCTGATGACCCCTGTTCCATTTCCTTCCTGCTTTCCTAACATCCAGCCAGTGTGTTTGCAGGGGAAGTCAACTGAGTGAAGGGGGACTTTTCAGGAAAGAGACATCTTGGGTGCTGAGTGAGGTAACACTGTTCTAATGATTCACAAGAGCAAACTGTTATCACGCATTTCTATCAAGTGCTCATTTAGCAGGTATTATACCAAGTGTTCAAGCCAAAGGCTTGAAATAGGATGTGCCAGTATCTGTGTTATAATCTTATTTCAGTTTAGGTGTGAAGTTGGGAGGTGGGGGTGGGAAGGATTAAAAATGTTTTAAACCTAACTGGCTGCACCTAAAACCAGTCCACACTCACTAATAACATCAGAGGGTTTTATTATATGTATACTAGAGGCCTGGTGCACAAATTCGTGCATGGTTGGGGTCCCTCAGCCTGGTTGGTGATCGGGCCAATTGGGGCCAGCCGGCCAGGGAGACCACGGGAGGTTGGCTGTGGGAGCGCACTGACCACCAGGGGGAAAGCTCCTGTGTTGAGCGTCTCCCCCTTGGTGGTCAGGGGCGCATCATAGCTACCAGCCGGGTCGGTCTGTCGTAATGGTGCTTAGGCTTTTATATTATATAGATACCTGCCCT